CTCCCCAGATATCCTGAGGACCATGGTGGGTGAAGACAACGGGCGTCGCGGCATCATCAAGATCTTTGAGGTGCTACAGAACAAGAACTTGAACAAACACCTGCTATATGTGAGTCATCATACTGTCGGTGTGGGTGTTTGGTGGGTGCTCTGGTGTGGTTTGCTCCTTCTTTCCTGTCAAACATCCATCATCTTTACCTCTTCTTCCTCTTTTCCTTGTATGTTATTGACTGGTAACACCTTAAATCTTTGGCACTTATGTGACGTTATTGTGTTGAAAGTGCTGTAAAACTACAGCTAAACTGAAACAAACTAATGTGTAATAGAAATTTGTAATTGTGAGTGTTTTACTCCCTCATTGATGCAATTTAGGTTGCGGTATCTAGGAGGTGAGGCAAATTGCTTCAACCCTACTTTTCAGGGCCAACATAGGCAGAGAGGGATACAACATCCTAGCAGACAGATGAGATGGATGGAGATACTCGATTAAAATCTTCCCAACTTTGGAATTGAACTCACGTCTTCTGCTTGCTGTGATGTAACTGTTTCACAGTCTGTGCTGGTCAGACCGTCCGTAATGCCGTGGATGCTTATGTTTAAATGGGAATAATGTGATGGATTAAACAGGAACAGAATGCTTGTGCCCAATTTTTTTCCCCTCTAAGTATACTTTGTGATGACTTAATGGAATAGATATGAAAGAATTTTGGACCAAGTGAGCTTTACTTTCAGTCTCCAGGTTTACTTGTAAAGCGTGTTTAGACTGTCTGTATTTCGAAAAGTGGTTTACCTCAGACCTCAAATAAGGCAGTAGTAGTATGTTTGATTAAAAAAGTCCTATTGAATATTTTCTGACTGCTGCTTATATTTCTGTTGTACAAAATGATCAGCAATATGTCAATGCATTGTTTTAGGGTTTTTGAAAGAAAAACATAGGGCTAAAGTAAAAGTTACTCTCTTGTAAGTCTAATCTTTGGCTGGTGCTTACTTGACCAAAGGTGTGTTGATAGTGCTGTAAAACACCAACCCAGTCCAAAAAAAAAAAATCTTCGGCGCTTACATGACCAGATGTTTTACAAGTGCAGTAAAAGATCTATCTGACCAAAGAAAAAGTGGCTAACCATCAGTAGTTACAGACCAGGTTTCTGCTCGTGTTGTCCACAGAACCTTCTGGAACTTCTCCTGACCGAGCTGCTTCGGGAATTCCGGTCGGCCAAGAGCACCGTACAGAAAAGCATGGAGGATCAGCGGCAGAAGCTTGCCTTAGAGCAGGAGACAGATTTCTAGCATGTCGGAGATTTTGCTCATTTTTGTGGATGGGACTGGTTTTTTAAAAAATAATGGTTATCTCCAGCAAGATATAGACTGCTCAGTGTAAGACTTCGCCCTGTGCCATTTAAAAAAAGTGACGTATGTGAAGTGTACTGACAAAATGAGTTACTTCTCGGATTCAAGCCTTAAGGAAATAGATACATCACGCTTATAGGTGAAGTTTTTACAATTTATAAGCATGAAATAATAAAAGACAGGTGATAGTTAAAGAATATGGCATCAATAGAAAAATATACAAATTTGACCCTAATATCGATTTTTGGCCAATATATCCATTTGTGGATTGTGAGAAGTAACTCATGTAATGGAGTTTTACACTGATCAGGCGATATGAACAAGAATCTGTTAGTCATCTTGACTCAGGATTCAGAATCCTAGAAAGTGAAAGGCATCTTTTACTCAAATCCTGTCACAAGATTCAGTCAAGTGCCATCTTTATTCATGAGCAATAGTAGAAGCCCTCATGGTAACAAAGTTTCCTGTTGCTTAGAGATTAAAAAAAAAATGTCATGTTATGAAAAAATTATTGCAGTTGGATGTCAGTGCTAAGTCTTGTGTTTATTTTTCCTTTCTTTGGTGCCAGTTTTCTGGATAACAGATTTCTAAAATTGTCCACGTTTTACTCATTTTGAGGCGGACGATATTAAAATAATCTTGATACAATATGGTGGGTAAATTTTGACTCCCCGTGTGCTTGTTTCCATGGGTCCAAAAAGTTTACGATTTTTTTTCGCATCCAGTCGGCAGCTGTGTTCCTTGTTGTGTTGCTTTTTACTTACCCTGCAGTATGTGATCAAGTTTGTGTTTGTGTGTGCTTCTTTTTGAAGCAGATTTTGAGTCGCGTTCCTATTGTGGCTGCTGTTATGCTGAGTGCGTGTATTTATTTGACTGGATGTGTGAGTAGAAAATGCTTTTTTCAAATTATGTTTTTGAGTGAAATGCTCACTGTTGATACATGACTTTCTAGAAATATTTTCATGTTTATGATCAGATCATTCCACTTAATGTTTCTAATTTTCTAAAGTCACAAGGAGCATCAAACTTCCGGAACCATTTTCAGTTTAGATAAAAGAATTGCGCTTACAGTATGTGTGCCTGCTAATTAATATTTTACAGTACTGACAACTGATTTGCAGGAGTTTTTGCCCCTCCCTCCTTCCCCCCCCAC